ACTGAACCGATCGCAAACCTGGAGCCAAGCGACCGAATACAGAACAGGAAACACGGCACGAGCAAAACGCAGCCCAAAATGCAAACAAAAGACCAAATGAATAGTCCCAAGTACGCCCGCCTCTATGTGTCTTATTGCTCTCTTGTCCACTTCTTTTTTTTATGCTCTTTGAATGCACTTCAGGCTTGTAGCTAGCAAAGAGCTGGTAACATCATCCGGATTTTACACTCAGACGCCAGTTTTTGTCTAGAGGTCGAGTGGTTCCGTCGGCAGGTGATTGTGACGCCAACGATTGGTACGATCACAATAAACCATTTTCAGAAATCGCAGGTTCAGGGGGCTCCAGTATGAAAATGCGGGAACACATTTTTATTCGAGCACAGGCAATCTTTCAGCCAAAGAAGCTAGAACCTGCTGGCTTTATAGAGCTGCAGTGACCTAGATTGAGTTCCACAAAGCTCCTTGTGTGCCTATAACTTTTGCAACGAAGCTCGTTCAAAAGCGTTTCTTTCATCTCCTTCTGAATGAGCATTGTTTCGTCCCCAAAAGCCTCAAAACCAGATTTCAGACAGGTGGAGTCATTTATAAACCTGTGGATTCTGATTCTGAGTTGACCACCTTGATCTCAGTGCGTCAAGAATGGTGTGAACTCAAGCAGAAGGGGAGAGGAGAAGGGGGTTTAAAAGAGGTTTTGTGTACGCTCTAGTGTGTTTCCCTCTTGACCTTCCTAGTATTTTTTTTTTTTGACAAGTTGAAGGTACAGGTGCTCTTTCTCGCTTTTGACTTTGGGGACAAAGAACTCACACTTGGATGTTAGTCAGCAGCAGAGGCTGCTGTCTTCGAGTATATGTTTCTGCTGAGCGTGCACGTGTGTCGTTCACTTGCGTCTTCATCAACAAGTCTGGCTGCCTGATCACTTCCAGTTTGGCTGTTATGAACATGCGATTCCGGTCTATATGTCGTCCCCCAAATCGCGGCGGGGCATATTACAAACCTTCTGTGGAATGCGTCAGGAGCCGAGCCTGCAGTCAAACTAAAGCACGGCAGGTGCCACGTCGAGAATACATGGGTCCCGTTTTGTTCCTGAAATATTTCGGCACGCATTATGTTGCATAACCTGAATTGTTTCGGAGTAAACTTTAATAGCAGCAGCCAAGGCGCTTCATGAAGGTTATAAAGATCGCAGCAAGATGTGATTTTCAGAGAAGTCATCCCAAATAGATCGCTTCTCTCTGACTTTTTATTCTTATACTACCAGCTTCCAAAACTTGCCAAGTGTCTTCGAGTGTAATTCAATGAATTTTCAAAGTATTTCTACTGCACGTAAGTTAGTTCAAACTAAAAGAAGCTTGAATGCTATTCTAAATACATTTCCAAATGGGTGTTTAGTATCTCATTCTAAGAAGATATTGCAGTAGCATTGCATCTCCGATAGGAACTTTTCCAGAATCCAGATGGCACTGGGGAGGAGACTTTCTACTGATCTGCCTATGCGATATAGTGTTATTTTTAAATAAAAATAAACAGAAAGCTCGTCTTTTTGTCCCCCCCCCCCCCCCCCCGCAAACAAACCAACCCCGTGCTCTCGGCCTGCGAGCAGCGAGAATGGCTTCAATTTTGGTTCTGTAGTTCAAGAAGATGATGGCGGGGAGGGGTGTCGGCCTCGAAGGCCATCGCGAAGGAGGCCCTGTGCCCCATCCTTACCGGGTTAGAAAGGAAAGAACGTGGTTAGAGAAAGCCTAATTTCGCTGCCGGGTTCTACTTCGGATAAACATTTGTCTCCGTTTTTCGGCTGTTTCGTATTCCAAGATTTTTCGTGCGATACGATCTTCCAAATAGCATGTAGATTTTTGATATCGTCAGTACAAAAACGAAATATGCCATACATTTCTTTTTTGTGGCGTTGTGTCATAATGTTGCGAAATAAGCTGCCACAACTCAGTATGCCGTTGCGTCCTAAATAGCAGCCCCTCAGAGCCTACCTTTCATTCCCGCGAAGCAGTGATTTGAAAAATAAAGCTGCTCACTCTAAAAAGTGCCTGATCTTCTTGTGCGAAAAAAGAAACGAAATTGACCAGAAAAGAGTCAAAGTACAGGCTAGCTGGTGGAAGTCAACCATTTCGTCGTTTACCCTGAGACTGGTTTTCTTTTCTTGAAGAGCAGAAGTGACAGAAAAAACAAACAGCTCTCAATAAAATGGTAAAAAGCCTGCTTCAGGTACGATTAACGAGAAAAGAGTCAAAGTACAGGCTAGCTGGTGGAAGTCAACCATTTCGTCGTTTACCCTGAGACTGGGTTCTTTTTTGAAGAGCAGAAGTAACAGAAAAAACAGTCAGGTCTGTTTTTTTTTGTTACTTCTCCTCTTTAAAAAAAAAACAGTCTCAGGGTAAACGACGAAATGGAAATTGACCAGTTCGAGATACACTCGGTAGCCGTTAGAGTCCTCCGACGGAGAAAAGCTCACAGGAAAACCGACGGATGCGGAGAAAAGCTCACCAGTCTTGATGGATACGTAGAAAAGCTCTCCTCTGCGAACCGATCTAACATTCTTTCTTTTGCACCTCAAGGTATTTTATCGAACACCGTTTTATCAAAGTCATTTAATCGAATACCCTTTCATTGAATCCAATTTCATCGAAGTCGTAGAACGCCGTTTTATCGAAGATTATGGTCTCTGGGCAAATAATTCCTCGTTCTTGAAAGATTTTTTTTTTTTTTTTGCATTTAAAGGGTAAATATATAGTGTTCCGTTTTTCTTTTGCTTTGTAGTAACAGATGACCTTTCGGCGATGTCGCCTAAGAATGGCTTGATACTTTTTGGGAGGTCTGTTGTCGTCAAGGTCACATTGTTGCTGTTCGCAGGACTCAACATTGAGGCAATGTCCTGTCCCTGAAAGCTAACAAAAAAAAACGTCTTTTTCTTTTTTTTTTCTTCGATTTCTGCCTCTTCCCCATTCTCCTTAGAAAGTAAGCTATTGTTGTGAGGCTGGACGAGGACACTGTTTTACAAATGTACAAACATGCAAAATGCGCAGCATGAGTGGTAAGCAAAGTTCTGACGTGAGTTTTAAATAAAAACACCGCAATGCGAGCAGCAGCGAGAATATTAAATTTTAAACATTGAATAAAATATTTCGCAATTTAGCTTTTTTCCGCATTTATCGGTTTTGCCTTGAGCGTTTCACCATTGAGCTTTTCTCCGCCGCCCAACAGTAACAGCCGACCAAGGGCTCATCGCGGGAAAGACAGTGCAATCGACGAACACCACAATGAAATGTGTGCGGGTTCATGTCTAAAACATTCGCCTCAATTGTATAAAATACTGACTCAAGAGTGTATTTGGTGGGGTCGAACAAAGAACCTTCAGCGCGAGACTCACAACTTCCAAATAGCAACGTGTGACGCCTACTACCAAAAAGTTTGTTCTGTGTTCAACTTCACTGAATACATTTTCGCAATGTTTGTTTAATTACGGTAGAATCCACCACCACAAATTGATAGGCAAAGTGAATTTCGAAATGAAAACAAAATCGATGAACTCACGAATGTCTATTCTGCATTTAATATAAGTAAACATTTTAAATGCATCTCAGTAGAGTATTTGAAATTGCCAAATCAAATCATAATCAACTCTATACATACGACCACTTCACCCGCGAGCATCCCTGCGCACATCTTGGCCGCGTTTTGCTTTGTAGCCCTGCCGAAAGATGGCGCTGCACCTTAAATTTCGATGTATCTCTAGCGGTGCGCTCTACACATGTTTTGCATCGTAGTTTCGGCGTTTCGCGCACTTTTTTTTTCAGCATTTGCCTTCGTTTCCTAAATTCGTGTTCCTTTCTTGATTTTTCTTTTAAGTATGTAAGGCACGTCGCAGGACAAAGATCGGCATGATGTATTGCTGCGTGCTGTTCCGCAAGTCAGAACGAGGGAAATCAGTGGGAGTTAGCTTTCACAAATTCCCCACCACAACCATCCAGGACGGATGAATAAAGGCCGCTTGTCGTCAAGGTTCTTATTACTTAATTGAAAATGTCTACGAGACAGTGCTTCAATTATTTCATGTTTCGGGTGTCCTAGATTTCAGGTACCACGACGGTGAATTGGCGGGGGGGGGGGGGGGGGGGGGGGGGGGATGCCGTAGTGTCCGTTCGAGTGTTTGCAGTGCGCAGTTCACAGATGATAACTATCGTCCAGGACTTAAAACGACTTCGGTTCCCGAACCTTCTCTTGGTTCCCAGGCTATTTTGCGTACCTTTAGTCGACAGAGGCGTTGACTCAATGTCTACCGTACATTGAGTCAACGCAATGAGGTCGTCCGCAGCAAACGGAAAAGGTCGGTGCACTGTTCGACAAGCTTACTTATTTTGAATATGCTGCAACGGCTGCAGTCTGCGCACTCCTAAAGAGTCGATGCCCAGTGCAGCTTTTTCTGGAAGTTCTGTTCCCCTCTGTGACTCTGTGAGCAGAACCAATGAACCCAATTGCTGCAATGTTACAGTGACCTCTCGGAAGATCACGGGAGGGCCCTTGCTACCTTGATCATGGCTACGTTCATCAGGCCCTTCTTGGTGAACCACACAAGGAACGTGTCGGAAAAGAAGCAAGAGACCTTGAAAAGCAGGCCAGCATCGTGATGGGTGCTCAGTGAAGGCAACTCACAGCGAAACACTAAAAAACGAGGACAAACATGGCTGGGCCAAAATATGGCAAAGCAAAGGAACGAGGCAATAATAAAAGCCTTTAAAAGGCATGATGTTGCAAACATCAGTTTTGCCAAAATGAAAACATGCTGAAAAGCATCTACCATGCGCAGAAATTAAAATGCTTGCAATGCCCTTCTTTTTTTTTATTAAAATCAATTTCAGACTCTAAAATCAAATGCAGACTGTGATTATTTCACAAAAATCATAAACCGGAATGGTGTATTAAGATGGTGATTCGGGCCAGTTGGTTCATGATCCAAGATAGGCGCCGAAAAAAGACAAGGACAAGAAGAGACGTAATTTTTTTTTTTTGTGACACCCTGTACTAAAAACACCACCTAAAGGCAGCTTTGTGCCAAGTTTCAAGAGATTCCCCTTAACGGTTTATGCATAAGGTTTTCTTTCTTTGTTTACTTGCGGATTTCTCTCGGAAACGCAATGTAGAATAGCGTAGTTACAGTTCAACCGAACGTAGACACGTAGGACTTCATCAGGAGCACTAAGCTCTGGGGCACGGTCTCGTTCGGGTTGAGTTTTGGAAGCTTGTCGAGGGCGGCGCAGTCGGGCGAGCCGTGCTCGTAGGGCTGGCAGTACAGTGTGACCAGTTCGCCGAGCGAGCGCTCGAAGGAACCCGGCACTGGTTGGTCGGTGTCGGAGTCTCCGCAAGCCTGTTCGATGCTGCGTTGCTTGCAGTGGAAAAGCCTGCTCGTCTCGCTGGAACAAAAAAAAAAAAAAAAGGACAATGAATTGTAGCGACGAGGCACCAACCCGCTGTTAACAAACAAGTCCGCACTTGCCCACACCAGGTGTGAACATTGCGCGTGCTCAGAGACCGGATTCGCATAAGACGGAGCGTCTGAGTATGCGCAGTGCCGACAGCAGCGCCACCTTAGTGCTGTGACGTTAAAGTGTTCAGTTGGTGCACGCATTCAGCGTCGAAGTGTACTCAGGCTGTCGAACCGATAACACCTCCAACGCACCGGAACATAAAACCGAACAATGCCGTTCCTTTAGTTCAAAACAAAATGAACCAATGACGTTTTATTCTTACATTGCGTTTTTTTGTTTGCTTTTTTTACGAGGGCGAGCTGGTGTAAACGTGAGATTCCCAAGTGCTACAACCGCCAGATTCATTTAAATTTTGCGGCACAAGTTTCCGTTACACCCCCAAGCTTGCATACTATAGGGAGGGCAACTCACCAGCAGCCGTGCTCGAGTCTGCGTTCTGGAGTAGCCCCGACTATGATCCGGTACAGCTCCTCCTTAAATGTCTGGTAGCACTCGTGGATGCGATCTCCTGCCCTGTTCAGACAGCGAGCACCCGCAAGATAGCCTGCAACCGCAAGAGGGAGAGCCAGAACGCGATTCAGCTCCAAGCGCTTGTCAGGCTGCATTCACACTAGAGTTCGAATCGCAACCGCGAAGCGGATCTGCTTCGCGGTCGTATGCGAGTAGATGCGGAAACGCCTCATGCGTGTTCCAATCATGGTTGCTTCGCACATGCATGCTTCGAAGATGTCTGCAGACGGTGACATCAGAACATGTGGTGACATCAGAACGACGCGAAGCTCTGATTGGTTCTATATGAAGGATAGTGGGTAGACCTCGAGGAATCTTGCTTCGAGGCCGACCCACTATCGGTCAATCAGAGCCAATCAAAGCTCGCCAATTTATGACGTCACCGCAACTCCTGCACAAGAAGCAGACGAAGTTTCGCTTCGTATACGATTCGACGGAGCCAATCAAGTCACGCCAAAAGTGCGTCGCCACGGCGCTCGTCGTCTTTATGCGTTTGCTAATCGCCGGCTGAACCAATTACGCACAGTGAATACGACGTGGTCCTGTGGCTTTTTTTGGTGCGTGATTGGCTATAGCTGTTGATAAGCTGATGAGTTCATCGGACACTGTCTTTTGAATTCCCTTACGACGCAACTTTTACACTCAGGGATGCTGCGCCACGGCGGGGTCCTGCAAACGCGCTTTAATTTTTTAGCCGCCAGCTGACGTGTGAACTTCGTCACTGTCCTTCTTCGTCCTCGGATTTGCAATACTCTGTTTCCCCCCAAAGTCTAGACGTAGCCGACGCTACGAGTTGATGGGGCCAATCAGACAGCATCGGAAGCGCACCATCATGCTGGTGGTGGTGGCGGCCTGACGTGAGGTTTTTCTCACGTGAATTGGGCTATTGCGGTCTTGATGATAATCAATGCAGAGGAAACGAGGGGGAACAGATGGGGATTAGAAGCATCGAATGATAAAACACAGGTTAATAAATTAAAGGAAATTAAAGAATCGGCAAGCAATCAATCAAAAGTGAGAAAATTGCCACATCTAGAACGCGAGTATCACAAAATGTTGACAAATTGTCCACACAGTTCTGCAGGAAAATTCACGAGAAAACAATTACTGGCACACAAGTAGAAAAAAGAGGGGGCGATCGTATTATTTCACACATCACAGTTCTGCCAGAAGCCCACAGGCGTCCAAGAAGTTGAACAGTGTCTTTCAGAGACTCGTGCGAGTGGAGGCAGGGTTTTTTGGAAACAGCATCTCCACGAGGGTGGATGAAACACCGAGGCCCTTCAGTGAATCTAAAAGCACAGTTCGTTGTGGAGTGTAGCCTCTATATTAAAAAAATATATTCGTGGGCGTTTATGGCTGATCGCAGTGCTCGCAAAAAGGGCTTGTTATTTTGATGCGGTGCACGTTTACTTGCGTGTAAGCTCAGTCTGCTCTTAGGCGGCGGAGGAGGGAAGCCAGACTTGGGTGTTAGGCCACGCGTACAGGCTGATAGAGGAGGTTCATCAGACACCACACTGGAAACTGGATGCTCGTGTTTTATATTAGTCTTAATATCCAATCTCGGGTCAGAGTGGCTGGGGAGAGGCCACGTCGCAGTGGGTAGTTTTAGAGCGGTTGAGCTTAGATGGTCAACTATCTCATTTCCTGGTAAGCCAATGTGTGAGGATATCCACTGCACTCGCAGGTTAGAGCACTGGGGAACAAGAAGACGACCTGGACTGCAAATCAAATCAGGATTAGCGCTTTCGCTGCTGAGGATATTTTGCACCACACACCGACAGGCTGTTGCCAAAAACCGGTTATTTCGTGGTTTTATGACGATGTAATGAAGGCATGCGTGGATTCCACTCAGGGGCTTGGCTGTAGTCAACGACACGGCATGGTTGAACCGTCCTGACCATGAGCAAAATTCCGAGGGAATCTGGTAAGCTGCAGACGCGACATTATGAATGAAGTCAACAGACCGATCAGTATAAATGGCCGTAAACGAGGTAGTGGAGACGCCATCAACTCCTCTGTCAGGGCTCGACTAACCAAAAAGGGATGTCGTGAATTTCTGTGGAAACCCGGGATGTCCTCGTAGATGGTGAACGGGTCCTTGCTCCACGGGGAGTCAAGTGGAGAAGAATGGATGGATGGTATGAATCCGTGAGCCTCAACTAAACAGGTGCAGTGACCAGCATATTGTGAAAAATGACGCTGCTACATGTCAGTTAACAGGGAGACAAAACCGATCAACTCAGAGAGTCAAACCAGATGTTGAACGGTACGGCTCACAGCGGGTTAACCTACCTGCATCTCTCGGCCCTCAATCTACTTGGCATAAATTTGAGAATACGAGGAACAACCAAGAGCCATTCTTATTCTAGCTTGGTGGCATCGTCCCTGTTGATCTCATAAAGATTGTGTAAGAGGCAAATATGGCGCGGCATAAGGAATGCGGGAATGGTTAAGCCCCCAGTGCACACTTCGTAGGGTTTAGGGGCCGAACCCACTCAACTCCACGAAATCGACGAATAAAAAATGTCGTCATCGCCATCTGACTACAAGGTCTGTAACGTGCCGACGCCAATATAGTGGGGAATCATGATCGACACTCAAGAATTGATAGCGAAAAACGTGGCTGTTATAGTCAGTAAACAGCGAGACACCACTGATCAACTCAGAGCGTCTAACCAGACGTTGAAGGATACGGTTCACAGCGTGTAAAACTACCGGCATCTCTCGGCCCTCAATCCACTTTGCCTGAATTTGAAAATACGAGGAAAAAAACAACAACCGCATCTCCACGTGGTGAATGATGTTGATTAGGGCGAAGCTCTGGTGGTGCTTGTCTGCGTAGATGCTGAACCGCAGCATGCCGAGCCTTTCGTTCGTTTTCATCCATGTCACGCTGCGGTCAAATGCTCAAATGCGTATATAACCACGTTCCATACCGCACATTCTCTTTCTGACATGTATGAAAACGAACGAAAGGCTCGGCATGCTGCGGCTCACCGTCTACGCAGACAAGCACCACCAGATCTTCGCCCCAATCAACATCATTCATCACGTGGAGATGCGTTTTTTTTTGCCCTACACGAGCACGGGAGCACATGCTCACGTGCTCGTGAGCACGTGAGCTCACGAGCAGGAGCACGTGCACCCGACGGCGGACAGACATACGGACTTGGCTAGCCCCTAAAAGGGTATTCACACGAGGGAGAAATCCCAAGGATTTCTCTCCGGCACGCGCGTGACGAGATGAAAACGCGAGGCTTTTGCACATCGCGAAGCCTGACGTTTTCGTCGCGGAATGCGCGTGCCGAGGAGAAATCCCCGGGATTTCTTCCTCGTGTGAATACCCCTTAAGGAGCTTCGCCCTTAAAACTAAGAGCGATTCTTATTTTATCTCGGTGGCATCGTTCTTCTTGATCCCATAGAGATCGCGTAAGAGACAATTATGGCGCGGCATAAAGAATGCGGGAAAGGTTAAGCCCCCAGTGCACGCATAGTATTGCTTTAGGGGCCGATACCCACTCAACTCCACGAAGTGGACGAATAAGAGATGTCGTCATCGCCATCTGACTACAAAGTTTCTAACGTGCCAACCCCAATATAGTCGGAAATCATTATCGACACCCAAGTATTGATAGTTACAATGCGTGGTACTCGAGTTCCACAAAAAATTAAGCTGCGGAAATCCTTGGCGAGAGGGGTGGCGGAAGCTAGCGAGCGAAGCTGTTTTTTTGCGCTGAGATGGCAATTCCGAGGTCTTCTAGCATGTTTTTAACACGCGCGAAGCATGTTTGCACAAAGGAACGTAGAATGAGTCAATCCGAATGGAAAGCCCAACAACAAATGTCATCTTCATAGATGATAATACCACTAGGAAATGGTGATTTATGCCTGCATAAATGTATCGTCGTCATGACAATGTGGAATAGTACTGGGCTAAGGCAACTAACTACCTTGAGGTAACCCATGCAACAGTGAATGCACGGCTCCTGTAATCCTGCCCGGGCAAACACTAAATGTCCTGCTGCTCAGAAACTCTTGTAAATATTTCAACATTCCTCCTGTTACGTGAAGGTGATTCAAGCAGGCAAGAACTACATTCTGGGGAATCGAGTCAAAGGCTCGTTCAACGTCAAAGAAATACTGCCAAAGCAGTGTATCCTCATGAACGAGCCTTTTCCAACGCTGATGTAACGCTCGCTATACAGTCAGCAGTGCAGCGTCCGCTTCCGAATCCCGCGAGTTCAGGTGGTAGTGCTTCGATATCGTGAAGATACCACTGGAAACGCGTAAGTATCAAGCGTTCCACAAGTTTTCCAGCACACAAGGTCAAAAGTATTGGGCGGTACGATGACGGTTCCGTCAAAAGCTTGCCTCATTTCAAAATGGGGGTTACCACTCTTGCGAAAGAATACGAGTAGACTATACGCCAAATTTAAGCGTTCGAGCAAGACGACGCGCGACATATCACTTAGGTTACGCACTGCTTGATAAGTCATGCCATCAAACACAGGAGCACTGTGGCGTTTGCAGCTCCTAAGAGCCGCTTCTAGTTCCGATATAGTGAAAAGATGATCCAGACTCTGCGGACTCCGCGCAGGACCAGTCAGTGATCCAGGATGTGAAGATCCAGGAGGGCGTTGGGCTACAATGAAGCGCACAGCAAAATCATCAGCAAGTCGTGATAATTCAAGGGCAGTTTAAAGACTGAGTGCGATGAACACATCTCGAGTTGTGTGAAAGCCGCCCATGTTTCTCAATTCCTTGCAGAATTTTGGCTTAAGTTTACGTGGAATGAATGACGAGGCAAATTCACGAAATTGTCGACGACGAAGTGCTGCAGTATGCCGGCGTAAAGGTGACGTAACACGACGACGGTCTACCTAATGCGGGGCCTTACCAAATCGGTGCTACAGGCACTGAGTGCGGCTGCGAACAGCACGTAAACATACAAACTTCAAATCCGGAAAAGGCTGAGATGTCCCTAAAGACATTTTACATGTTGATCGAACAAGACATGTAGGAATAGCTTTTAGTATACACTCTGACGGCTCAAAAAAGCGAAAATTTTCGCGAGATACTTCCCAATTTGTTACAGGGGCGGCCCACTTCGGGAATATTCATCAAAATACGAAGACGACCGCTTCCAGCTATGTCCGCATTCAACAACCAGTACACGTCAAGATCTGGGGAAGCAAGAGAAAGGTCCAGCACGCTATAGGTATACGCGATGACAAACCATGTTGGAGAGCCGCCATTTAGAATAATAAAATCTGTTGACTCAATGTCATCTGCGGGAACCGTACCCCGTAGTGTCGTGCGCTTATTACTCCAGAGAAGATGCTGTGAGTTAAAATCCCCGCATAACAGGAGACGACAAAGAAATTGAAGGCGTAGGCTACAAATGCGCTTCGAATCAAAGCGACTAGGACATATATTCATACGGACACAATGGTTATCTTAAAGGATCGAAATATGACAGTGCATGGTGCAAATTCTGCTGTTTCTGTACACACATGAAACACATCCTCCACAGCTTGCTGCACACTAGAGTGAACAGAGAGTGATGCCTGTGACGAGCTCTTAGGGGCAGCTGTTGTATGCTATGGTATGGTAATTAACATACAGCTGAATTCGAGAGAATGTCTGAGGCGGCAGTTCGAAATTGGAAGTATATGTGCAGGCTGAGGTGAAATGTAATTCTGCAACTCAGCAAATTTAGAAATGATGCTGCGGGGAATCTAACGTAAAATAAATGGGCAAGGAGTCATAAAAGTAAAGCTGAGTAGAGTAAAAGCTCTCATCACAGAAATCTTTCGACCAGGGGCTCTATGAGTGCATGCGATTAAATGCAGGAGCTGGTTGGCCCATAGATACTGTAGAAGCGGGAGAAATGTTCGCGCTATGACCAGTATTTGGCGTACGAAGCTGTCTAAAGAAAGAATTAAGGGTAATAGGATTTGGATGTGAAGGCATTTGTTCCCGTTCAACGCTCAGAGGAGCTTGTGCGGCCGGGAGTACAGGTCTGGCCTGCACGGGGGGAGACGACGATGGGCGTGTGTTTTACAGCGACCTTTCGTAGCTTTGTCCCCCGTTGTTCTCGCCGGAAGAAACAAGGTTAGGAGTTCTCTTAGCTGGAGGCTCTGTGTCCATTGGCTTCAAGGCTTCAGTGACAAGCGATGATGACCGGTCTTGCTTCTGTTTATAAACGGAAAAGGCCCTGTGACTTGAGCTTTTGACGCTGCTTGATTGGTACCATTAGCTCGTAGCGTCGGCCGCGTCTAGACTTAAGCTTAAGCGAAGTATAATATGCATATTTTCAATCCTCGCCCTCTGCTCGCTGCCAGCTTTGTCTACCGGGTCATTAAACATGTTCTAAATAGGCACAGTTTTTTGTTTTGTTTTTACAGCGAAGTTGGTTGGTTTTTCCGTGTCGCCGTCCTCACAGAGAAAGAACCTTCAGCGATTGAACCGAAAACTGCATACAGCACGCATGCAACATACAGCACAGCATTCGTTTCGATAATGAACAAGAACAAAACAGCCTCAGAACCGCATAGTTGATGATGAGGCGCTCTTGATAACAATACGAAGCACGTAGTGCTCACCACATGCGTTTTTCGGTAATGGTTACTCATGGGCAAGCTGCTGCGGCGACGGCAGCTTCCGACGTGAGGGGTGACGTCTCTAACCTTTCCTATATAAAATAACCTGCCTATAGTCCGTTTCACCTGAAGTCCGGACGCAGCGGAAGCTACGAGCTATCCTAGGCTCCTAGCCAATGCCGTTCTGTGGACGTAGCCCGTGGTACGCTTTCCGCGTGTCGCTGTGCCCCTTCTCTCTAAGGTCGCGTATACACTCACACGGCCTTGTATTGGCTCCGATTGCTTGTAACATCCGCTGCGCTTGGACGTAAGGTGAAACAGAGTATAGCAAATGATTTCATTGTTGTTGCAGCACCGTTATAGGTAGGTCACGCATATTTAGGACTCCCGACGAGCAGTGCGAACACGAGGAGCGGCAAAAGGGAAAATAAACGGCAATACGACCAGCGGCGGCGTGCTGAGACCAGCGGCGGCATTTGGTATAGTGCAGTGGGTAATCGCCGCTGGTAATACCAGAGCTTCGCTGGCTAACCGCCTTCAAAGTTTAAATCGTAACCCCAAGTTTTTTTGTGCTCTTTATTTGGACACAAGGTCTCTGGAGAACGAAGCAAACGGCCTAAAACTTTGCCTGGCGAGTTCTCTTCTGCAAAATATGAAATGCCGTACGCCATCGCTCCCACAGCCCAGTGAGTCGTCATTTTTCGTCCCAGTTATAAGTGCTGTAAAGGTGCACACCCACTCCCTCTAATTCCCAGCGCGTCGAGCCCCTCAAGGGGCACGCGGATTTCCCCTACGCACCTCCACAGGAGATCATGAAACGCTATAACTTCTTGAGGACTACCTCAGCCCGACGTATCCAGAGTTGTTTCAAGTCCCACCTTCGAAACGCCCGCGCTTACGTTTGTGGTCGGAGTGGGAGGCATTGCACTTCCCGGCAGACTCCCTCCGCAGCGCGTTTAGGGCGGCGTAAGAGACACCCCGGAAGAAACCTTGCAGACAGCGCTCCACGTATTTGTTGCCGCAGATCAGGTCCACCGTCTCCAACCTGCAAACACAACGTATATACACCGAGCGACGCGCGTGTGTGTACATTGCGTTCAAAAGCGTTCGAACACTCAGTAGAGACACATTCGGCTCGCTTCGCGCCTATTCACTAATCATTCCAACCAGAGCTCGGGGCTCCGGCGACCCCGCGCGTTCTCCTCCTCTCCCCCAGTTTCTACCCGTATACACCTTTTTCAAGGCTCCATCAAGCGACATTGGCGATCACCATCTCTTAGTCACGAAGCGTGTGATTCTTTTGAGCCCTCGCCCGATGCTGACGCAGCGCTTCTTCTCGTTACGAGCTCAGCCGAGCTCACACCGAACACTAACGTTGCCCCCGTGTCCATTACATGTTCAGATCTGTGTGAGCCCCAGTAACGGCGGAGTGGATGCTGCCGACTTCTGAAACGGGTCTCCGGATTTAGAACCAGAGCCTGACCGACTCGAACAAGACCGGTTTTTAAACCCTTTGTGACTCCTTACGACCGGCTGCGTCGCTGCGCATCCGGTCGTAAGCCGCCCTAAGAGGCTTAGCAAACGGTATTGTCCCAGTCGGTCGGAGTGTGAACGGGCCTTTAAGCTGATTCGCACCGTTGCAACCAACTACGACCGAGCCCACGAGGGGGTTTTAAGCCGCTTACGACGGCCATTGCTGCTGCGCGGCACGGTCGTAAGCCGTCAGAAGAGGCTTAAGCGCTGGTTTTGTCGGACTCGGTCGTAGTCGGCTGCAACAGTTTGAACCAGCTTTTAAAACATGAGAACACTAGAGAGCCTAGAAGTAGAAAGTGTTCAACTCAAACCGCGGGGAGCGTTCGCAATTTAATGGGAGACCCTCCTGCGGAGATAGATTGCAAGTGCGCATGCCCCTTACAAAAAAGTGTAATTCTTTCTTGTGGAAAGTCTGCTGAAAAAAGTCAACGCAGGTACTAAATGTCCACAGCTTTCCATCATACTTTCTGCAGATTGTATTTAGCTTTCGACTTGACTTCCAGCAGCCGTTTGGCCCAAAGCTCATTAGAAAGGCAGTAGACTTCTTGGCGCCTAGGTGTCAACTTTTTGTTGACACTCCAGTGAAAAGCTAAACCTCTAGCTATTCATTCAACAAATTTTCGGAAGCCTTACTGAAGCTTTCCACTCTCCTCCAAGTTGGCTGCCACAAAATGACGCAAAAAAAAACACAAAAAAACGCGATCTTTTTATATTTTGTTAGTATGTTACTAAATCAGTAAATGTCATTAAATTTTATGGTATTTGAAGGCACAACTACATATACCCACAACTACACATTAGAAACGAACACAAACACAAACACCATGAAGCAGTGAACACCTGAATCACACTCCCATTGACTGCTCCAGGGCCTCATATAGCCTACATATTAAAGGTAATCATTTGGCCGGTGACCACCTTAGCACTTATTAAGGTTCCAAGTCTTTGATCTTCTCTTCGGGAGTCTGTCAAAGGGTAAACAGTGTTTCGAAGTTCGTGGACGATGTCTCTCACTACAACGCATTGGTACAACTAACAATAATTCAGCGCAGTCGCTAAAACAACATCCACAAAAAACGGCTCTTAGAAGAAATATTATCGCTTCTCTGCGTAGCACGGCTCAGGACGAAGCGAGCCAATGCAGTTTCTCCACCTTCAAATAGTTTTTTTTAAATTTTCGTTACAAGTTGACTATTTAATGTGGTCATTAAAGTCACTATAGTCACAACTTCAGAATGGCAGGGCATGTCTTTCGAACGCCTGGCCTCCAGGACGCGCCCCATGCCTTCCGTCGTGCTTTGACTGCACATGCTCGCTCGGGGTACAAGAACGCCGAAGCGTTATCAAGGGTAGTATGCTCGCGCTGGAGGCGGGCCAACTGAAGTTGCTTCCCGTTCTTACCTTGTCAGAGACTACGGGGTGTACTATGTTCAATAAGAAGTCAACAAAAAGTATGTAGCTTTTCTATTGACATTGGCAACCGAGAGTCAACTGAAAAATTTTAACACAAAGTAAAAAGAACGTCTGCAGTCATTCTGATTACACTGTCAACAAAAAGTTAGCAGGAAAAAAATCAACATAAAGATAATAGAAAGTCAACAGCTTTTCTTTTGATTCAGGCTGAAGAAAGTCATCAGAAAAGTTTCAACAGAAATTCAACAAACTTTCTGTTGACCATGTCAACAAAAAGTCACCAGAAAAAAGTCAACATAAAGTTAATAGAAAATCCACAGCTTTTCTTTTGACTCAAGCTGAAGAAAATCATCAGAAAAGTTTCAACACAAAGTCAACAAACTTTCTGTTGATCATGTCAACAGAAAGTCAAAGTCAAAAGAAAGTAATCAGAACCAACAAGAAGTCAACACGTTTTCAATAAAAAGTCAAAGAGAATTTTTATAGGGGGCGCTGGCTTATCGCGTGGCGAGGAGGAAAGCAGGCGGAAAGGCGGAGACGTTTGCAGACGATAAACGCTTTAGGCACCCGACGTCACATCGCGTACTTTCGACCACCATTTAAGAGGAGAAGAGGGAAGCTGTTTTTGTAAGAAATTTTAGTGACGGGTTAAAGGAGCGATGCAACAATTTTTGTACTGTGCACAAATACCGCTTAAAACGGATCCCTAACGTTAATGACCTATGAAACACGCGTTCGTTTTTCACCCCACGCAATAGAAGTCCCAGAAAAAAATTAAAGAAAAACGAGCAGCGTTCACCCCCTCAACTCGCAGCCAGAACAAGCGGCCACGTGATCTGGAGCCGATTATATGCCGCCAGTGTTGATCATAGCCACGCGCTGGGGTTGGCAAAGCGCTGGACACGCGCTGAGTTCCAGACATTGTTATGGCTCGGCTGTTGTCGTCGTTGCAGCGATTGGACACGGGTCACAACCCGAATGCTTCTCGAGCTAGCAATTATCACGAGCCCAAGTCGAGTGCCCCCGCAATGCTCGGGTCCAATCTATGAACCGCATTCAAATATCGTCACTTGGGTGTACTGCGATCCCCGAGTTACGTCATCAAATTTTGCAAAGGAGAGATTGAATGAAAATGATCGCTTTTGTCCTTAAAATTACACCGCAACAAAGGAGTTTCTTGGCCAATGGCGTTGCGTGTGAGTATCCTTGAGTCCCAGGTGTGCCAGTAAGCTCGTGTAGAGAGAAAAACATTGCAATTGAATATCGTTGCACAGCTCCTTTAATGTTCTATAATCTTCTGGGAGGAGATAGCGACGTCTGTGAAAATCTCGGAAACACAAAAGAGGATCCTGGTAAGAAGGGAGCTCCTTCTTCCCCTCTTCTCTGGTGGCTATCGGAGCGCTCTTTGAACGACGTCACGTGCAAACCATGTATTGCGAACGCGGCCGATAAACCACGTGACCTTGGTCGAGCAGTCGGACACTCTCTGCAGGCAGAGGCCAGATTCCTGAAACTTTCTTACGACAAAATAGTTCGTACATTGATCTTACGACAAAGTTACGGACTTTTGAGTATTCCCGAAGCAAAATGTTTGTAAGGTTTGCGTAAGTTACGGATTTCGTCGTAACTTACGCTAATCTTACCAAAATTTTGCTTCGGAAATACTCAAAAGTTCGTAACTTTGTCGTGAGATAAATGTACTAACGTTTTTGTCCTAAGAAAGTATCGGGAATCTGGCTACAGAGGCCAGATTCCCGAAACGATCTTACGCCAAAAGTGTGCGTAAGACAAAACGTAAGAACAAACTCGTATTCACAAAACAAAATTATCGTAAGTTTTGCGCAGGTTACGACGGAATCCTACGACAGCTCCGAAGCTGTCTTACGGACTTTTTACGTTCAAATCAACATGGCCGACAGTGTCGCTCAGTTACTTGGTCACGACGACCAGCGGTCGTTTATTTTTCTACGTGCCCTTCTCGCGCGTCCCGTCTTCAAGCAGCAAGAAACAAGTAAAAAGTACTTGAAACAGACCACGACGAACAAGAACGCTGGATCCACAAACCCCCGGGAAAAGCTACAACGGCCACAATTCCACCGACCCCGACCACGCAAGCACGGCAAATTATGGGCCTAGCGGACACTCCGACTCTGCGCAGCGTTGCTCCGACGGTCCTTGGTCAAGAGCGTCTGCCCAATACCGGCTGCCGTGCTGAATGGAATATGCCCGCGCGACTCTTGTGGACCCTTCCCTGACCTTGATTGATCTCTGATCTCAATTTTAGATTAAGAGGTCGATCTCTTCCACTTGTCATCTACTTGTTTTCCGAAGCAGCGGTGACGAACGCTGTCGCCGAAAAGGGACTCTCATCGATTCTATCTCTTTGTTTTGTGTCATATGTAGCTCAAATAAACGCCGTATGGAATACCTTCGCAACACAGTATGTACACTTTGTTATTAGTATGTAATTTTTATTCTGACACGACTGCACGTCACTGTCGAGCTAGAACAGTTCGTGGGAGCTACGCAATGCCGGTCCAACCCTTCTTTGCCTAGTGTCACGTCAGTATCAAGATCGGTCCCGAAGCGCTTACCAATTCACGGTCCGATAGCGCGAAACCAGCACTTCGATCAAACGCGCGTGTCCGCTCCGAGTGTGAACAGGTATTTATGAGGCTCTTGCTGACACTCTCGTAGTTCAAACGTATGTTTTTTAACGTCGGCTCGCTCCTGCATCTGCAACGCCGTGGAACGCCGTGGCAACTTCTTTCCATCTAAGTCGCTTTGCAAACGACTGACACGGCCCGTCTTTTACACGATGACAGTTGTGTTGCCTTCGTAGCGATCGAGTTCGTAGCAGTCAACGGAGGCGGTTACGCATCCCGGCCTCGGCACCCAGGCGCGTTTAAATTGTGTTAGCGTCGACATATCACTGCACAAACACGAACACCAGACAAGCAGTGGCGAAAAGGCCACCTGTGTCTGTTATTAAAAATCCACGCGCTCCGAACTCCTTCAAACCATGCGGAGCTCTCCGATTGGTTGTTCGTGCTGCCGAAGACACCGTCGCCATGGCAACAGCACCGCTAAGTTCTAGTTTTTTCCGTACGAGAACGTCGCTTTCCTCCTCTCACTTAAGAACGCGT